GAGTTAGTAGTCGGAGTTCTTTCCGTGATTTTTCTTTTAAGGAACTTTCTTTACGAAGAACCACAGCTGTTCTAAAGGAACCAAGGCTTGAATCGTTTCTGAATGCAAATTATTATTAGTGAATTGTTCCGGATCGTGGGAAATAAGTCAAAAAGACAGCTGGGATCGATAGAAATTATAGCGTCATGTCCTTAGTTTTACAATCAATTTTACAATAAATACAGCTTATTCAACAATGATTGGACATTTGCGTGTTACCGATACCTTAAGGCTGCTGCACACTAACCGATTTTTTTGTCGTAGAACTGCAGATTTTTTGTCGGGGTCAAATCAGGTTAAAATGTGTCGGGCCATTAGCTTGCCGCACACTAGCCGATTTTTTGTCGCGACTAACCGCGTAAAGACTTGGGGCCGAGTCATCCAAAATCAAGATGGCGCCTATTCCACTGACGTGACTCCCATGACATTTCCTAATTGGTCGAGGGGTGCACGAGCCCTGACAAATTGTCTTGGTCTACCGCACACTAGCCAAGGTTTTGAGATCTAGCACTGTCAGATATCGCCCGACAAGACCCGATCTTGTCGTAGACTTGTCTGAATTCACCGCACACTAGCCGACAAGTGAAGATTTTTTTTGGCAACACGCAAGTTAACAACACAAACTTCGGATTTTGTTAGCTGAATTGACGGATGTACCGTTGCCATGGCAACATGAATAAATGTGAACAGGCCTTTAAAATCGGTTTTGTTTGTTTGCAGAAAATCTAGTCGTTAGATTTTATTTTTCATTTGCGTGCAACAAGATTGTAACAATGCTCGCAGGTTAGCACTATTTTAACAATAGTTTAACAGAGAGATCTTTAATCATCGCTTGTAGAAGGTTAACTGGAATATCTAGAATTGCCTCTGTCAAATTTCCAATTTTTTTAAATATTCCAGTTACTTGTTTTCTAAAGTATTTTCGTGCCAAATTTCGTGAAATTTTAGCAAGTGGTTCTCGAGAAATGGGTGTTTTTCCAAGGAAGCTATTCAACATTCAATCGCAATTTTTTGCCTTACTACGCATGCGCTGCATTTAACTGGGTTCTGAGAATTGCTGGGTTCTTTCCGTAGTTATCTTTTCTACCATACATTTTTAATAAAAGAGTAAAGCCATAAATTCACTTTGTTCAATAATGAAGAAAAAAGGCACAGACAACGAGGGCATTGACGAGATAAAATGATCGCTGTATCGACGCCATTTGTTGCTTTGTGTAATCCTTGTGCGCGCGCTGAATGGCATTAGCAAGAGCGCACGCGAAAATTGTGTTGTTCGGCCACCTTAATTGAATTGAATTCGACACGACAGAAATGCGACGTATGAACCAGGCCTAAAATACAACCAGTGTTAATAAATGTAGATCCAAACCTAATTAAAAAATAACCTATGAAGAGGACAAACGTTTTCATCTCTGATCTTTTACAGCTCTAGAAGTAAAGATTTTTCTAACTTTAACCCCTCTTCCCATAATAACAAAACCGAAAAAAAAAGACATCGTAAAACATCGGATTATGAT